GTACCTCACTGAGGTTGTAACTGACTGAGGTACCTCACTGAGGTTGTAACTGACTGAGGTACCTCACTGAGGTTGTAACTGACTGAGGTACCTCACTGAGGTTGTAACTGACTGAGGTACCTCACTGAGGTTGTAACTGACTGAGGTACCTCACTGAGGTTGTAACTGACTGAGGTACCTCACTGAGGTTGTAACTGACTGAGGTACCTCACTGAGATTGTAACTGACTGAGGTACCTCACTGAGGTTGTAACTGACTGAGGTACCTCACTGAGATTGTAACTGACTGAGGTACCTCACTGAGGTTGTAACTGACTGAAGTACCTCACTGAGATTGTAACTGACTGAGGTACCTCACTGAGGTAGTAACTGACTGAGGTTGTGACTGCCTGAGGTAGCAACTGACTGAGGTTGTAACTGACTGAGGTAGCAATTCTCTGAGGTTGCCGACTACACTCTGACGTTCCTAGTGTTAGTGGCTGAGGTAGCAACTGACTGAAGTTGTAACTAACTGAGGTAGCAACTGACTGAGGTTGCCGACTACACCCTGACGGTTCCTTGTGTCCGCCCACAGCGAGGGTGACCTAGAAGATTGTTTACATGCTCAGATGGCGGGAAAACGTGGCCGTTGCCATGACAAACGACGCTATTTTTGTCCCCTTATCTTAATTAATTTTTCTACCGTCTTTAACTAACCTTTACGAATGTAAATCGATCGCTCTGAGAGAAATCATTAAAACGTTGGGATAGTTTGCAATTAGAATTTTTTGATGGTGAAGATAAAAAATGGAAAAAAAATATTGAAATGTTTGGAAGACAGTAGGCGGCTAAGTCAACATTTGTTGAACATCGGCCAGTCAACAATCGTTGAACATCGGTCAGTCAGCATTCGTTGAACATCGGTCAGTCAACATTTGTTGAACATCGGCCATTTGTTGAATATATATTTTAACTAGATCGGCCAGTCAATATTTGTTGAACATATATTTAAATAACATCGGTCAGTCAATATTTGTTGAACATACATTTAAATAACATCGGTCAGTCAATATTTGTTGCACGTTTGTTGTATCTATTTTCGGTTATAAATTCAGTTGGATGTTGCATTTCTTCTTTATCATTAGCAGATTTACGTCATGTTGTCACCCCCCCCCCCCCCCTCCACCCGAGTCGGGATTTGTTCACTTTGCTCTTAAACAAGTTAGTAAAAAGTCTAGTGACAATTTAAGCGCAATTTCCTTATGTTATCCATAACAATTTTTAATTTTTTATTTTTTGTAAATATCATCCTATAAATATAAACTCCTACATGATGCTCCGTTTAAATCATCCTAGGCCTACACGATGCTCAGTTTAAATGTTCTTAATTAATTTTTTGTGACCGAACGAAAGGATATTTTTGAAAACTTTCTTCGGCAATATTGATCTAAATTATGGCAGGAATCGATTGGTAAATGTTTCAAGTCGCTAAGTGGTCTGGTTGCCGAGATATGGAGCAAAAACTGCAAGGAATTCCGGGAATTTTTTGGCCTATGTTCATCCTCGGAACTTGCTTAACATATTTGCTTTTGGAACTAGTCGTCGATATTGCTTCGTTGAGGAGGAGATACGACTTAAAGGCTGCGGACACACATCCATCCATCCATCCAGTAATAACGAGTTAATAATCGCAATTGTTCAGTATGGAAATTACGCTAAAAGCTATTTAATTCACACTAATTAATCATTTAATTAAGTGAAATTATAATTTTTCTATATATATATGGTGCTTTTTTTGCCTTGGTGTCACCCCTAAATGGTGTCACCACCCACTCCCGCCATGGGGAGTGGGTGGACTGGCCGGGAGTAGGGCGGGAGTGGGTGGATTGGCCTGGAGTGGGTGGACTGGCCGGGAGTGGGTGGACTGGCCGGGAGTGGGTGGACTGGCCGGGAGTGGGTGGACTGGCCGGGAGTAGGGCGGGAGTGGGTGGATTGGCCTGGAGTGGGTGGACTGGCCGGGAGTGGGTGGACTGGCCGGGAGTGGGTGGACTGGCCGGGAGTGGGTGGACTGGCCGGGAGTAGGGCGGGAGTGGGTGGATTGGCCTGGAGTGGGTGGACTGGCCGGGAGTGGGTGGACTGGCCGGGAGTGGGTGGACTGGCCGGGAGTGGGTGGACTGGCCGGGAGTGGGCCGGGAGTGGGTGGACTGGCCGGGAGTAGGGCGGGAGTGGGTGGATTGGCCTGGAGTGGGTGGACTGGCCGGGAGTGGGTGGACTGGCCGGGAGTGGGTGGACTGGCCGGGAGTGGGTGGACTGGCCGGGAGTGGGCCGGGAGTGGGTGGACTGGCCGGGAGTGGGTGGACTGGCCGGGAGTGGGTGGACTGGCCGGGAGTGGGTGGACTGGCCGGGAGTGGGCCGGGAGTGGGTGGACTGGCCGGGAGTGGGTGGACTGGCCGGGAGTGGGTGGACTGGCCGGGAGTGGGTGGACTGGCCGGGAGTGGGTGGACTGGCCGGGAGTGGGCCGGGAGTGGGTGGACTGGCCGGGAGTGGGTGGACTGGCCGGGAGTGGGTGGACTGGCCGGGAGTGGGTGGACTGGCCGGGAGTGGGGCGGGAGTGGGTGGATTGGCCTGGAGTGGGTGGACTGGCCGGGAGTGGGTGGACTGGCCGGGAGTGGGTGGACTGGCCGGGAGTGGGTGGACTGGCCGGGAGTGGGCCGGGAGTGGGTGGACTGGCCGGGAGTGGGTGGACTGGCCGGGAGTGGGTGGACTGGCCGGGAGTGGGTGGACTGGCCGGGAGTGGGCCGGGAGTGGGTGGACTGGCCGGGAGTGGGTGGACTGGCCGGGAGTGGGTGGACTGGCCGGGAGTGGGTGAACTGGCCGGGAGTGGGGCGGGAGTGGGTGGACTGGCCGGGATTGGGGCGGGAGTGGGTGGACTGGCCGGGATTGGGGTGGGAGTGGGTGGACTGGCCGGGATTGGGGCGGGAGTGGGTGGACTGGCCGGGAGTGGGGCGGGAGTGGGTGGACTGGCCGGGAGTGGGGCGGGAGTGGGTGGACTGGCCGGGAGTGGGTGGACTGGCCGGGAGTGGGGAGGGAGTGGGTGGACTGGCCGGGAGTTGGGTGGGAGTAGGTGAACTGGCTGGGAGTGGGTGGACTGCGCGGGAGTGGGGTGGGAGTAGGTGAACTGGCCGGGAGTGGGTGGACTGGCCGGGAGTGGGGTGGGAGTGGGTGGACTGGCCGGGAGTGGGCGGGAGTGGGTGGGCTGGCCGGGAGTGGGGCGGGAGTGGGTGGACTGGCCGGGAGTGGGTGGACTGGCCGGGAGTGGGGTGGGAGTGGGTGGACTGGCCGGGAGTGGGTGGACTGGCCGGGAGTGGGTGGACTGGCCGGGAGTGGGTGAACTGGCCGGGAGTGGGGCGGGAGTGGGTGGACTGGCCGGGAGTGGGTGGACTGGCCGGGAGTGGGTGAACTGGCCGGGAGTGGGGCGGGAGTGGGTGGACTGGCCGGGAGTGGGGTGGGAGTGGGTGGACTGGCCGGGAGTGGGTGGACTGGCCGGCAGTGGGTGGACTGGCCGGGAGTGGGGCGTCTGCAAAACAACACATAGGTGGTCACAAGTAGCTGACAAATTAACAAGTAACAACTGAGAAATTAACATAATTAACAACAAAGAAATAAACCTGAGCGGAACCTGTTTTCTTATAATCTAGCACGTGATCCATCAAACTTCTTTAAAAAAAAAATCTCTTAAAATTTTCCTATTTATTCACATGCCATCCATCACATTAAGACTCCATTGATTGATAAATTTCTACATCATTCGTGATTAACAACTAATTTGCTAACATAACAGCACCCGATTAAAGAAATAACATACTTTGATCGAAACAGTCGCTATTCAAAGATTATTTGAAAGGGTAGTTTTGTACGTCTGTTTTAATTTCTTTTCGTTTGAATCTCTAATCTCGTTGTGGCTGCGCTCTCCTCGTTCTCCCCCCCCCCCTTCCTCCACCCCTTTCATTACAACATGTTTAAGATCCGCAAGAAAGCGATCCGCCCAGATGTAATCTAATACACTCAAACTTGATTTAGATAAGAAGATGGCAGTTGGTACTTGACTCTGTATTGATTGACGTATTCCCCTGGCTTAGCCAATACAATGACCTACTTTGTTCGATCGGCGCGACCTAGACTTTCATCCGGGTCATTATAGAGCATAATAATCAAAGTCAACATCATAAAAATGATCAGAGTCAACATTACAGGTCATCATAGAGAATATAATCATAGTCAACGTCAGTTATATGGTTGACCTCACATCACACACAGCTAAAGTAGTTCCCTCATATTCCACACACAGCTAAAGTAGTTCCCTCATATTCCAAACACAAAGTAGTTCCCTCATATTCCACACACAGCTAAAGTAGTTCCCGCATATTCCACACACAGCTAAAGTAGTTCCCGCATATTCCACACACAGCTAAAGTAGTTCCCTCATATTCCAAACACAGCAACAGTAGTTCCCGCATATCCCACACACAGGAACAGTAGCTCCCTCACAACCCACACACAGCAACAGTAGCTCCCTCACACCCCACACACAGCAACAGTAGCTCCCTCATATCCCACACACAGCTAAAATATCTCCCTCACATCCCACACACAGCAACAAGTGTCCCCTCACATCCAATATTATTTTTCTTGCAGGTGTAGCAGTCTGTTGTATCCTGAGCTAGTGACGTCACAAGTCACACAGAAATCAACCTCGAGACGTTTCTACAGGAATTATGTGAACAAATCTACCTTGTTGCCATGGTTTCACAGACAACCCTCGTCTGAACCCGCGTGGGTTTTTTGCTGGCGCCACGAACCCCACCCACAATGTGTTCACGTGTCAGGTCCCCAGCCTACACGCCCATGCACGCCGGCTAACGCCCCACCCCCGCCACCCGTGGAGGTAGTATGCCGAGGTCATACTCCTTGTCCACCATACGTGGCCCCCACGAGCCTGGGCCCTGGTCCCTCAAGGACCGCTCGGAGACCAGCTACGGGTCGGAGTCACGTGGTCGGACCGTCTCCACGCATATCCTGGGGGTGGGGATCGTACTGGTGGGGGTGCTCATTCTGGCCGTGGGGCTCATCATGGGGCTGGAGTTCCCCAAGTATGTCAATGATCACAACAAGGAAAACCAATGCGTCGTGCGGCCAGACCAGGATTCGTACGACTCGTGGGTGAGTACACACGTTAGTTGACCAGGACTGGTGGGTGAGTACACACGTTAGTTGTTACTTAAACGTGGGTGAGTACACACGTTAGTTGTTACTTACACGTGGGTGAGTACACATGTTAGTTGTTACTTAAACGTAGGTGAGTACACACGTTAGTTGACCAGGACTTGTGGGTGAGTACACACGTTAGTAGTTACTTAAACGTGGGTGAGTACACATGTTAGTTGTTACTTAAACGTGGGTGAGTACACACGTTAGTAGTTACTTAAACGTGGGTGAGTACACATGTTAGTTGTTACTTAAACGTGGGTGAGTACACACGTTAGTTGTTACTTAAACGTGGGTGAGTACGCACGTTAGTTGTTACTTAAAAGTGGGTTCTAGAATTTCTAAGGCTACTTAAACGTGGGTTCTAGAATTTCTAAGGTAGCTGCCGTTGATGTGTTGAAGAGTTTCGGTGCTCTATATCTTCAATCAATCCCTCAACCCTATGGTTGTTGGGGCAACCAGTTGATTATATCATAATTATTCGCCGTCTGTCTCTGTCCTCTGCTGCTCCGAGTAATTCTGTAACGGAAAGCCCAGTCCAATCTTTGATGGCATCCATCCTAACTACACATTTACCTGCCCCATCTCCCCCCTAACGCAGTGCCCAGCGTTACTGTTTTGGATAGACTATTTGTACATTTTTACACGCTATCGAAACTTGAGTATTAGTGGTATTTCTTGCCTGTAAACAAACGTCCATATTTCCTGTGTTCATATAAAACACGGCATGTTCACACGCTTTGATGTGACACACGAGCACTTACACGAGAGCGCGCATGCGCATACAACCATTTTTGAGCCCTGAGGTTTGATGAACTATAAACAATAGCTTGGTGTAAACAATGGCTTGGTGTAAACAATGGCTTTGTGTAATCAATGTGCGTGAAATACTTCTGGTGCCACTGACACAGTGACACAAGACCCAATCAATAGCAGGACATTAAGGCTGGGGTTGTTGGTATTTATCCAGGGAACGGTAAGGTGCACAGACATAAAGAAAAAACGGTATCGTCTACTGTGGGTAAGGGGAAATGTCCGGGAAATCCCGCTCGCTTGATGCCAAATGGAGTTTTAAACAAGTGTTTTGGCTGTTATAGAAGGGGGGGGGGGGGGGGGGGAGATGACCTTTAGCAGAAAGGGGAAATGATTACCAAACCGTTTTTACCCGAAAAGGGAAGTAATTTCACAATTATCGTTCTCAGTCAATAAACGGGATTGAATGCTAATCAAGGCAGGATCCAACCAAATTGGACGAGTTCATATGAATGTTAGCATTTTCGCTGCTTGCTTATGTGTAAACTAGGGTTTAATTAATTTTTTTATGCGATGGAAAAAAATAGCTTTAATTAACATAGGGATTGCATATTGTGGGCTATTGCTTGTTTGTTATTTATATGTATTTTATTCAATCTTGCTAGTTTCTTTTAAAAAAACTGTTTTCGTGGAATTATTTAAATCTCAAAACATGTCCAGTGTTTAAACATATTTTAAATTAGATATATAATTATGTTATAACATAACATGACGTTAGATAAATATTTTAACGCAGGTACGTCATTAAAGTGAATAAACTAGGACTTTCTGTATTGATTACACGCGCTGATGTTGATGTAATGTAATTACATCATTAATCGGGTAAAAAAATATACCCCAGGGACTAATGACATTTGAACATTTTTATTCTCTGAATAAATAATGACTAGCCGAGGGTTAAACGATGTTTGATGACCGCCACGTTCTGTTCGTGTTGAGTTTTTTCTGGACAAACTGCTTGTTACAGAGTATCTGTATATATATATATATATATATATATATATATATATATATATATATATATATATATATATATATATATATATATATATATATATATATATATATATGTGTATGTATATATATAACAACATAACTTCGATCTTAGCTCAACATGACTTCGAGCGGTCTTTAAGTTAAAAATGTACAAACAAGTCAAGACATTGAGGGATTTGCTTGGAGGGCGGCTCGACAGGCCGGCATGTCTGTGATATTTCAGAAACCGTCTGATACATTGTTAATGAAGGCCCGATTATGTCTGTGATATTTCAGAAACCGTCTGATACATTGTTAATGAAGGCCCGATTATGTCTGTGATATTTCAGAAACCGTCTGATACATTTTTAATGAAGGCCCGTTTATGTCTGTGATATTTCAGAAACCGTCTGATACATTGTTAATGAAGGCCCGATTATGTCTGTGATATTTCAGAAACTGTCTCTGAGACATTTGTTAATGAATGCCCGATTATGTCTGTGATAGAGAATCATTACCCTAGACTAGCCTGGGGGTATTTCAGCCCGCGAATGACGCATCTATACCTGATCATCTACGGTTTAAATTAAAGGGAGACAATGTTATCTTACTCGTCAATCGAGTTGTAGAACTTTGCCCCTACAGTTATTGCGTTATAATACTTTCCCTTACATAAAACTACTATGGGCGTGAGGACAATGAGTAATGTAAAACGAAAGGTAAAAATACATAAGTATAGATCAATAGCCAATTAGGTAAAAGCTCTTTAAAATCTTAACTCATTAGCGTTAGTGGGCGTCAGATATTAGCGCTAAAAGGGTTTGAGGCTAATCTATACAGTATGTCGCTATCAGCGAGTATTGATTGCAGTTCCACGGGACGGATATTTCTTCAGATCTTGTTTGAGGGGGGTGGGGGGGGGGGAGTGGAGTAGGCATCAGGGGAAGGGTTAGAATGGGGGAGAAGGGGCGTAGGTCACTGATTTGTCTGGGAAGACGAAACACTCAAATATTTAGTTAGTTTGGTCGCATGTTCTTTTAAAACAGAAAGAACGACCGAGTGGTTTTAACAAACAGGTCTCGTCTCGCCGGTAGCAGAGCGTGAAATTGCGAGACTTCTTTTTTTTGTTGTTGCTTTGATTAAAATTTCATCCATGGTTGAAGCAACAGCTAGGCGAGAAGCGTGTACACAAACCACATTTCAAATACGATGTTGTTTGAGAATTGGAAAAAAAAACCCAACGGTTTGATAAGATTTTCCTGAATTTAATCAATTTTTTTTAGAGAATTCAATTTAAAAAAAAAAAGCCAAACAAGCCTATCTAAAGCTGACCATTTGAGCGTTAATCAGTTACCATGGGAACGTATCTCAGTTTTGATCCAAGCCTGCAAACGTTCTATTGCAAAAACTTTCTGAAATTTCAAAATTTTATTGCATGTCACTATAGCAACAAGAAAAGTCTACTGCGAAAAAAAAAACGAAAGAAAAAAACCCGATAAAGTTTTCTAGTAAAAAGTTGAGATTTGATTCCTCAGCGGATAATGTAGTTTACCATTTGTTAGTTGAGTGGTAGTGTACATGACCGTACTGGGTTTTCCCGGCTAGTCCTATTATACATGACCTTATCGGGGAAAACCCGATAAGGTCATTATACATTACCGTAACGGGTTTCCCTGTTAGTGCCATTGTACTTGACCGTATAGGATTTTCCCTGTTAGTGCTATTATACATGACCTTATCGGGTTTTCAGAGCTTAACATCGGGTTTAACAGAGCTGTTGATAGGGCCCACCTTTTTCTTGTCCAGATACAGCTGTTGATAGGGCCCAACTTTTTCTGGTCCAGATACAGCTGTTGATAGGACCCAACATTTTCTGGTCCAGATACAGCTGTTGATAGGGCCCAACTTTTTCTGGTCCAGATACAGCTGTTGATAGGGCCCAACTTTTTCTGGTCCAGATACAGCTGTTGATAGGACCCAACATTTTCTGGTCCAGATACAGCTGTTGATAGGGCCCACCTTTTTCTGGTCCAGATACAGCTGTTGATAGGGCCCAACTTTTTCTGGTCCAGATACAGCTGTTGATAGGACCCAACATTTTCTGGTCCAGATACAGCTGTTGATAGGGCCCAACTTTTTCTGGTCCAGATACAGCTGTTGATAGGGCCCAACTTTTTCTGGTCCAGATACAGCTGTTGATAGGGCCCACCTTTTTCTCGTCCAGATACAGCTGTTGATAGGGCCCACCTTTTTCTCGTCCAGATACAGCTGTTGATAGGGCCCAACTTTTTCTGGTCCAGATACAGCTGTTGATAGGGCCCAACTTTTTCTGGTCCAGATACAGCTGTTGATAGGACCCAACATTTTCTGGTCCAGATACAGCTGTTGATAGGGCCCACCTTTTTCTGGTCCAGATACAGCTGTTGATAGGGCCCAACTTTTTCTGGTCCAGATACAGCTGTTGATAGGACCCAACATTTTCTGGTCCAGATACAGCTGTTGATAGGGCCCAACTTTTTCTGGTCCAGATACAGCTGTTGATAGGGCCCAACTTTTTCTGGTCCAGATACAGCTGTTGATAGGGCCCACCTTTTTCTCGTCCAGATACAGCTGTTGATAGGGCCCACCTTTTTCTCGTCCAGATACAGCTGTTGATAGGGCCCAACTTTTTCTGGTCCAGATACAGCTGTTGATAGGGCCCAACTTTTTCTGGTCCAGATACAGCTGTTGATAGGACCCAACATTTTCTGGTCCAGATACAGCTGTGTATAGGGCCCAACTTTTTCTATTGCAGACCCAAGGAACCCAGTGGTCAAGGAAAGTGAGGGCCTACTACTGGACGCTGGCCAACGTTCAAGAATTTTTGTACGGAGCTGGTAAACCAAAGGTCAGTGTTGCCTTCAGGTCCACCTTGTTCATGAGCTTAGTATTGATAGCCCACGTTATGTTCAGGGGGGGGGGAGTAATAT